CCCCCCTCCCCACCTTCCTCCCCTCCCCTTCCCCGATCCCTTCCTTTCCTTTCCCCTTCCCCTTTTCCCCCTCCCTCCCTCCCTTCTCCCCCTTCTACCCATACCCCTCCCCCTTCTCCCCCCTTTCATTCCCCCACCCCCTCCCTCTCCCTCTCACGCCCCGCCCATTCGCCTGCGCAAACTTACGGAATAACTTGATAAGACCGCCTTATAAAGTGGATTAAGGGCACCATTCCGACGCCCTCTTAACCGCCCTCCGACGTCAGCGGCTCTTAGACACACGGGAACAGGAATTCATTTCGTGTAGGGCGTGTGTGAGGTCGGGTGGGGGGGGGGGGAGGGGGGAGGGGGTAGGGGTGTAGAGGATGGGGGGGTTGTTATACGGGAGCAAGCGGAAAGGTAGTTGTGGTTGTGGTGGGTGTGGATTTGGTGAGTGTTGTGGGTGGGTGGATGAGGTGGGGAATGGGGGAGGTTGTAGAACGCATAGGGGAGCAATAGGTTGTGGGTTGTGGTGGGGTGGGTTGAGGTGGTGTTTATGATGTGGGTGGTGGTTGTGGTGGCTGAGATGATGATGATGATGGGGGTTTTACCAATGGGAATTTTCATATTAACAGAATAATCACAATGATAATGATGATATAGTGATGATAATGTCACAGGAAGAATGATGACGATAGCAATTATGATAATGACAACGTCAAGAATCCAACTGTTGTCATAACAATAAGAATGATAACAAAACAATAATGTTAACAAAGGTTAGAAAGACAATTATCAACCCTATTATCCCTAACAATAATCTTTATTCTCATTATCATCATTCTTGTTCTTAATATTGATGTTTTATATACATAATGTTAATCATTATTTTCGCTACTGCGGTCATCATTACTATTAAGATTTATATTTTCACTGCTATCAATTTAAACGTCATTGTTGTTGTTATTATCATTATTGTTGTTGTTGATGTTATTTTTTTCAAAATTATTATTGTTATCATTACTATTATTTAGTAATAGTATTTATCATCATAAATACTATCATTAATCATTACCACTATTATCATTAAGTAATAGTATTTATCATCATAAATACTATCATTAATCATAGTTGCTATTGTTATCATTAGTTTTACTAGTATTTCTATCATCATCATAATCACTATTTTTATCAATATAATTATTGTTATTTCTATCAGTGTCATCATCATAATTAGTGTTATCATTATCATCAGGATTACTATAATTATTATTGTTATTATCAATGTTATCATAATTCTTATTATCCTTATCATCAATTCCATTATAATGATCATTATCATCATTATAACTATTATTATTATTATTATTATTATTATTATGATGAATGATTATTGATGATGATGATGATGATGATGATGGCGATGATGAAGATGATGATTATGATGATTATGGGAATGGTAGCAATTATACTAATGATAATCTTAATAATAAAGATAACATCAATACTCATAAAGATAATGATAATATTAATAATGAGGATAATGATGATAATGATGATAGTAAAAAATAAAACTAATGATAGTGATAATAGTAGTAGTAGTATTAATAAAGATAATGATACTAACTTTATTATCATTATTATTATTATTATTATTATTGTTATTATTATCATTATTATTATTATTATTATTATTGATATCATTATCATTATTATTATTATCTTTATCATTATCATCATTACTATTATTATCATTATTATTATCATTATCATCATATTATATCATCATTATCATGATAATGATGATAATATCAACAACAATGATGATGACAACAATAACAATAATAATGATAAACACAATGATAACAATGATAATGATAAGGATAATAATAACAACGATGACAATGAAACAATGATAATAGCAATAATAATGATAATAACAATGATAATAATAGTAATGATAATACAAATAATGATAGTAATGATAATAATGATAATGATAATGACAATAATTATTATTATTATGATAATGATAATGGTAATGACAATAATGATATAGATGATGATGGTAATGATAACAATGGTGATAATAATGATGATGATAACAATGGTGATAATAATGATGATGATAACAATAATGATAGTGATAGTAACGATATTTATCATGAACATCAGCTTCATGATAATAATAATGATGATAATAATAATAATAATAGTGATGATGATGATAGTGATGATTATGATAATATTGATAATGATAACAGTAACAACAATAATGATGATAGTGATACTGATACTATTAAGAATAATAATGATAATGGAAATAATAATATTAATGATAATGATAATAATAATGATAATATAATAATAATAATTAATAATAATAATAATAATAATGATAATAATAATAATGATAATAACAATAACAAAAAACATAATAACAGTAATCATGATAATGATGACAATAACAATAATGGTAATACTAATGATGATGATAATGATGAATACAATAACCAAATTAGTGATGATACTATCAACAATAATGATAATGATGATAATGATAATGATAACAATAATCATAACAATACTAATGATGATAAGAATGATGATAATGATAACAACAATAATGATAATAATCAAAGGTACTAGTAATGATAATAATAGTGATGATGGTAATAATATTGATAATAATGATAATATTGATAACAATAGCAGTAACAACATCAGTAATGATAATGATACTGATACTACTGCTACTATTACTACTGGCACTACTACTACTAGTAGTAGTAGTAGTAGTAGTAGTAATAATAATAATGATAATAGTAATAATAATGATAACAATAATAAGAATTATAGTATTATTAATAATGAAAATGATAATAATAACAATAATGATAATGATAATGATGATAATAATGATGATGATTACAATAATGAAAAAAGTGATGATACCATCAACAATAATAATAATGTTGATAATAATAATAACAATAATCATAATAATGATAATGACGATAAGAATGATAATGATGATGGTAATGATGATAACAATATTGATAATATTCAAAGATAAGAATAATAATGAAATGATGATGGTAATGATGATAACAATATTGATAATATTCAAAGATAAGAATAATAATGATAATCATTAGATAACGATCCTTCTTCCATTCACAGATTTTATCGTCTTTTTCTCCTCTTCCTCCTTCTTAACCACAAAGAAAAATAAAAGTTTTTGCTGTCTCCTCATCGTTTCCTTCCTTTTCATCCTTCCTTCATTCCTTTCTCCTGTTCCTTATACCTTTTTCTTTTCTTTCTTTCATTTTCTTTCTTCTTTTCTCCTTTTCGCCTTCCTTGGCCATCAAAGGTTCTCTCCACCTCCTTTCCACCCCTTTATTCTTTCCTTCTCTCCACCCTTCTCTACTCTGTTAGACCATTTCTGCTTATCCTCTTTGTTTAGAAAGACCGAGAAAGGCCGAGGATGACCGAGAAAGACAGAGAAAGCCCGAGAAAGACCGAGAAAGATCTAGAAAGACCGAGAAAGCCCCGAAAAGATTAAGAAAGGCAGAGGAGAAGAGAAGAAAGAAAGCCGAAGAAGACCGAGAAAGATCTAGAAAGACCGAGAAAGGCCGAGAAAGATCTAGAAAGACCCGAGAAAGACCTAGAAAGATCTAGAAAGCCCGAAAAGATAAGAAAGGCCGAGGAAGACAGAGAAAGCCCGAGAAAGACCTAGAAAGATCTAGAAAGAGCCGAGAAAGATCTAGAAGACCAGAAAGATCTAGAAAGATCTAGAAAGACCGAGAAAGGCCGAGAATAGCATTGTCTGGTCGCCACCCTTCCCGTCCGTCTGCAACTGAACCATCGACAAACTTTTCTCGTTACGATGTGGCCCCTGAACCCCCATTCCCCCCTACCCTCTCCCCCTCTATCCTCCTTCCCTCTCTACCACTATCTCTCCTCCCCCCCCCTTTTTTTTGCTCTTTGCTAACTCTATCTGTCACTCTGTCTGTCTGTGTCTATATCTCTCTATCTATTTATCTATCTATTTATCTATCTATCTCTCTCTCTCTCTTTCTCTCTTCCCTGTCTTCATACCCCTCTCCTACCATCTTTTTTCCCTCTTCCCTCTCCTAATTCCCTTATACTCCTCTCCATTCCCCTCATCTCCCCCTCGCCTCCCCTTTCTGCATTCGCCTTCCCTCTCCCCTATCCCCTCCCCCTCTCCCCTACTTGCCTCCCCTCCCCCCCCATCCCCGCTTCCCCTCTCCTCCACTCGCTTCCCCTCTCCCCTACTCTCCCTCCCCCCTC